GGAACACTACGTCTGACCAAGGAGGTCCAACTCGCTTCATTTCACTGCTCAGGAGTCAACCCAGAAAGTGGGAAGGATTAGCCCTGAGCCGGGGTGTAAGCAGTGCCATCTTTCCACTATACCATGCTAGAGCCCCTCTTTACCACATGAGTCTCACACACACACACACACACACACACACACACACACACACACACCATGACTGAACGATGCTGTTCAGAAGTGTACTTACCCATGGTACACTCTGGCCACGCACATTCCTGGAATGTAACTTTTCCGGCCAGTGCTGAGAGAAATGGCCTTCCACCAGCCCCCTTCGCTGTCGGGACAAAGCAGAGAGGGGAATGTGTTCGGGTAAATGGCAAAACCAAAGAAATGTGGCCATCAAACTCTCCCACGGCAGTGTGGGACATTCCTCTTTCAAAATCTGTCATCGCCACTCGGGCCTGCCTGTCTCCAGTTAACAATTTAGGTTTCTTGTATGCTTGTATGTGTGTACCTATGTGTGTCAGGGTATGTTGTGTGTGTCATAGGTGTGCATGTGGAGGTCAGAAGTGAACCTTGAATGTCATTTCTAGGAATACTGTCCACCTTTTTTTAAAATTTTCAATTTATTGTACGATGTGTTTCTCTGCGCGCGCGTGCGCGCGCGTGTGTGTGTGTGTGTGTGTGTGTGTGTGTGTGTGTGTGTGTGAATGATGTGGGGGATGGGGACATATGCTTACCACAGCATGCATGTGGAAATCAGAGGATAGCTCTGTGCGGTTATTTCTCTCTCCTTTCACCTGTATAAGGGGCTGAGGGATCTAACTGACCACCAGGCTTGGGCAGCGTGCACCTTTACATTCTGAGCTGTCTTGCTGGCCCCCAACCTTGTTCTTAGGGACAGGTTCTCTTTCTCTCACTATCTTGGAAGTTGCTAAGTAGGGCTGAGCTGGCTGGCAAGGCCTGTCTTTTTCTTCTCCTCACTGAGATTACAGGTGTGTGCGCTCAAGCCCAGCTTTTTCACTTGGGTTCTAAGACATTGACCCCGGGTCCTCATACTTCCACGGCAAGCATTTTACCAATGGAGCCATCTCCCCAGCCTAAGCGTTTAGTTTTTTTAAAGCCCGTATGTATAGCCAGCAGACATCGCTCACTGAGAGCCGCCTGAGGAACCTGCTTACATGCTGACGACAGTCCCACCCCTGGGGGACCGACAGTTCATTTCCTCAGCTGACATGCACAATTGAAGAGTTTCAAAATCAAAAGCTTCCTGTGCTGGTTTATCCTCTCAAGTAGAACCAAACATCCGTTTGTTTGTACGTCTCCATCAACGAGACTCTAAACCGAAGGACTAGTCCGTGCTACGGGCTGTTTGGAATCATACTTAAAGATGCTGGCAGGAACGAAGGTGGTGGTGTTATCGCCTACAGTGTTTTCGGACCCTGCTTCTCCTTCCCAGCATGCCCTAGTGAATAACACCGCCCTGCATATGATGAGCTCAGTGGGGGAAGCAGGATTTGTCATAAAGGGGCTCAAACATTAAGGAGTTTAGATTTATTTGGCAAAGAGTGAAGAGCCAATGGAGGATTTAAAGACCTGGGAGTACTTAAAAGGCGGGTCACAGCAGGGGCCAAATTTCCGAACTCACAGCAGGACCAGGACCCGTGTAGAACTAGACAACTGACCCTGTCTGAAAATCTGATGGGGTTAGTTGGGGGATATACATGTTTCGAGAGGCTCACTCACTCAGAAATCACACGCAGTTTCTCTCCTCTCCGGAATATTGGGGGGCTGATGTCAGGAGATGGGTAGTCATTCAGCACAGCCAGGAAGTCGCTCTCAAGTCCTGGGAAGCAAAGTGGAAGGTTTTGACTGACCAGGCACAGGAGGCAATTGGGAATAAGGAGAGACGAAGTTGCTGTGGGTGGGGGTTCGCCTCTGGAGCAGTGGTTCTCAACCTGTGGGTCACAACCCATTTGGTTGTGTATCCTGCGTATCAGATATTTACATTACAATTCATAGCAGTAGCAAAATTAGAGTTATGAAGTAGCAATGAAATAACTTTATGGTTGGGGGTCACCACAGCATAAGGAACTGTATTAAATGGTCTCAGCATTAGGAAGGTTGAGAACCACTCCTATGGAACCTCTCAGCTTGTGCTTATGAAACTTCAGGCCACTTCTCCATGGAGATGGCCTTAAGACAGATCTTTAGGCCTCTGACAGCTACAGAGCATGCTCTTAGTACAGGCCCATCATGGCCACCATATTCCCATCTGAAAAACTGGGTCCAGAGACCTAGAAGCCAGAGTCACACCACTTGGCTTTATTTCAGGATCTGCTCTGTGGTGTCTATAAGCCTCAGTGTTTCCATCTTGAAAATGGGATGACAGATGAAAGAATGCCTACCCCAGAAGGCTATGAAAAGACTCTTTCTTGGAGGGATTCACATGGCCCTACTACAACTTGAGGCAGTTAATGGGTTGCTCTGGAGAGGGAGTCATTTCCCTCAGCAGTGTGGCCATTGAGAAGTTGCCCAAACTCCTGCAAATATTCCCCCATCTGTGCTCACACACACGATCCTACTTAAACTAGGTGAGCAATAATAAACAAACAAATAAGAGAGGGCCTAGTTGGAAAAGTGTCCAACAGGAAGAGGCACAAGACAGAAATAGGGACGAATCTGATCAAAATACACCACATACATGTATAATTGTGATAAAAAGAAAATCCCTAGTACTGTATTTTCAATACCCTCCCTAGGGCCCTGTGGGTCCCATATCTGTGGTACTTGTGGAAGAGGGTTGGGCTAATCGATTGAGAGTCTCCTCCAGGGCCATGAGGCTCAGGTTCTGTGGTTTAAAAGCCCCTTTATCTTGGAGTGGATGGGTACTATGTCAGCAGGGATTTTAAGTAGCATGGTAATGGTGGATGAAACGTGAGTACTTTCTGTTGTAGGTACATTATAATTTCAATTCCATAACTTGACATCTGAGAGTCAGCATGACCTAAATTCTGCTTCCCCCTAATAAGAGCTCCACGTATGTATGAAATTTTAATGACGTTTTGCAAAGGGAAGTGTATATGCTTTTTGGTTCATGTGAGTCCAACTAGACACAGAGACACAGTGATAAGATGCCAATCTTCTTCCTGATGCTAAGCAACATTTGCCTCCATCCTTAGTGATTTTCCGTAACTCATATATGTTGAAGCAGGTTAGGGTTGGGTTCCTTCCAGGGAAACAGCACACTTACAAAGCAGCAAACATAGTTATCACTGTCCCTGCTAGCTGGGTATCAGAACCCACACTTCTGGGTTACATCTTATACTTGTTCATTTAGTGGCTCTTCATTGAGCCCTAATCCTGAGCCAGCCTCTTCCTGCTTGATAAGAGGCCACATTCTAGATCCTAGGATCATATGATCCATTACTTGTGTGTGACCTAGAAAGTTCAGTAGAATCTCAGCTGTGCAGGCTGGGTCCCTAGCAAGCCTCTTTCGATGATGTACTGACACTCTGGCTCTGAGCTCTCACAGTCTGGAGGTCCTACAGGCCAACTTTTAAATCTCTTACGCAGACTGAGCCAAACAGAGATCGATCCCTGATGCCGAGGGAGTGAGATGAATGAAGCTTCCAGGAAAGGGACTAACTGCCAGTTGGTGAATGAATCAGAAATCAGTTATCGTGGTGGAATAGTACACGTAGATGCTGTTCATGAGGGGAAACTGAGTCATGGGCAAAAAAACTATATAAAAAGTTTGTGAGAGGAAACTAAAAGTGAGCACCCCAATGAGTCACTGGAGAGGGGTAAGGGCTCCCAAGGAATATCTCTGTCAGACCTGAAAGGTTGGCTCAGTGAGATTGCCAGCCTGAGCCTGTAGATGAATGACCTCCACATTCTGCCTTAACACATTTTCAAAATGAGGTTCTTCTCTTTGTGACCTAGATACCACCCCTAGAAATTAGAAGCAGCACTCAAGCTGGATTGGGTTTGAAAGCAGAGGTCCTGAATCCTAATAAGGGGCAGAGCCAGCCTCTGGGGCATGAAGCAGGTGCAAACTTGGAGATTACTTATAACTAAAATGAAGTGCAAGTGCAGGGGAGGCCCGGGTCAACAGGGAAGACTGGGCAGTGGGAGGAGGGGAGTGGGTAGGAGAAATCTCTGAGAGTCTGCCTAGCTGTCAGGGCTAGGTACCTGATGGCATGCCCCCTTTCATGCCCGCCCCCACCAAGGGTTTCCTTTTCTGTAACCATGATGGACTGAAAATTCTCTTGAGGTAGACACACATTTTCCGGGCCTGATGCACCCCAATATGAGACAGCCACTTATTCACTTGGCTGCCTCAGCTGGGGGTGACAGGCCTTTCTCAGGATTTCCTTGCTTCTCAGACACCACAGCGTCTCCAGATGCTGCTGTCCCTCTGCCCAGTCCCACTGGCTCTCTCCTCACTTCTACCACCTCCCCCCCTCAGCAACTCCAGCCAGTAGAAGAGGATGATGCTCTGCCATCATTTACCTGAGGTTCTCCTTGGAAGCAATGTGTCAAAGTTGCCCTAGTACATGTATGTGACTGTCAGAGGGATACTCTTCCATGGCTGTGAGCTCAGAGAGGACCAAGCACCTGAGAATTTAGTGTCATCCAGCCTTGGGTCCAGCCTGGAGCCTGCCACTTAAAGAATCCTACAGACATGTGTGTGGAGAACAAGGAGCAGAGCTTCTTTTATGGGTCCTCTGTGTCACGTCCCCAGAGGAGTCTGAGCAGAGAAGTCCTGATTGGTTTGCCCACTTATGAAAAACAGGGTTGAAATGACTCCTAGAATACGTCGTCTGTGACAAGAATAGAACCTTGACATAGAGCCTGTGCCCACCAAGGTGTTTGTGGTTTGACGCGGTCGCACTGCACACTCAAGGTTAAAACTGGGAAGCCTTACAAAGCCATCTTTTATAACACCAGAAACAAAGCAGAACAGAAATAGAGAGAACACAAAAGCCTATAGTGAATGTAAGAGCTGCAGTGAAAAGGGGGGAGGGGCTTGTGAGCATTGCAGTTGCAGGGTGGCAAAGGCAGATTCTTGTGGAGTTTCCTTAACAGCAATGTTTTCACAGTAATGACAGTGAACTGTCACCAAGACAGCCTTGCACTTGGGCCTCTGCCTAAGGGTTCTTGCAAGAATGTCATCAGTGACCCCAATGCCCTTGTCCCCAGAGACAGAACACCAAGAGACAAACCACTAGAAGTCACACAACCTGACATAAGCCTCCAGGGACAACAGCCTGGCCACTGTGAGCAAATTTGATTGCAGGGTCCCCTGTCTTCCCTGAGCTCAGTCCCTACAGAGAAATAAATATGGGTGGTAGGGTTTGTGTTTTCTCTTCAAGACATCTTCAAGTGTGCTCAGAGCCCTGGCTTTCTGGAAAGTCGAATACTTATTACTTTTTTTTTTTTAAAAAGGACTAAATTTTCATGTTGACAAACCACTGCAGACATTCTGACCTAAGGTTAAGCTACCTGATTAAATACATTTAATCAGGTAAATATTAGATACACATGTCGCATCTAGTCTTCTGGAAACAAAATAGGAGGATGCTATAAATCCATTAGAACTTCACCTTATGTACAAAGTGGACTTTGGTTCCTTTTCCAGAGAGCCGAACATTTAGATCCAACCAGATAGTGAGTGGGGTAGAAGGAGAGGGTTAAGGAAGGAGGGGCATGATCAAGGTTCAGACTCACAGAACAAATGTGTGCTGGCCATGAGAAGCCCAGAGCGTTTGAAATCAGCTGGACTGACCCACATGCCACCACCCAGAGCTCTGGAATTTGAAGGAAGGCTTTTTAACAAATCAGAGCTTAACTTGTTCCCATATAAAAATAGGAACTATCAGAATCTGCCTTGTGGCGGATTATGCAAATCCGGTCTCGGTGACTCACAGGTCATTCCCATCCAGGACAAGCACATTCTTTCACAATCAAGACCAGTTCCAGCCAGATCATCCCAGGGCTAATGTTACCCAGGAATGGCAATGCGAGCATGTCCTACACCTTTGGTTCATCTAAACACAAACTCCACTTGGTAAGAGGGAAAAAAACATTCGGAATACCAAATACTTGCTCATACCTGGGGAGTGAGTAGCAGTGGGGAAGAGAATATACAAATATATCATATAAGGAAGGGACCGGAGTAGAAAGGAGTCCAGACAGAGCTTACTGGACATACACCTTACCTAGTCCATAAAGAACAGGCCTTTGAGGCATAATTATTCTTTAACGTGTTTCGACCAGCTTCTTTTCTAATGCTAGCACTAGCTCAGTAGCCCCATTGGCGGCTGCAGCAAACACTTCGGCCATACCTTCCTTTTCGTGTTCTACCCAACCTCATGGGGCACCTGTTCTTATTTGGAGGATGAGGAAGGCAAAGCTGGAGAGAATGAGTGGCATGTCCAGGGAATAGCATAAGACTGCAGGTCTATAATTACTGCATATAGCTCTCCATGCACACCTTGTGTCCAGGATCTTCTCAGTCAGCACTCCATTGTCCACAGATAAAGCCCAGATCCAAGGGAGCCTTCCGAGCTGGTACAGGCAGCCCATATGGCTAGTGGGTGCAGGGCTAAGGGACTAAATTATTTCAGCTTCTGCTTTCACACCCTCTTGAGTCATCTCCAAACTCAGTGGCTCCTGCAAGGTCACCATTAGGCCTGACTTTCAGTAACTTTGTCAGGAAGCAACACATGACCAGTGCCGATCAGATGGCGCCGTACATCGGCGTGGAGGAAGGCCTACCAAATTCTGCTGATGGATGTAAGCCAGGTCTGTGGGGCCTACTATCTACAGCTGTGGATTTCACAGGGTACTGACTTGTATTTTATGACATTCATGAAGTGTAAAGTGATTCAAAAGTTAAATCCACGTCCTCCTAAAGCCATCCCATGTCCCAGGAGTGGGTTAGCAATATAGAAATGAAGACCTAGACCAAGACCTGACTGTTTCTTTCTTTTATGGGACCTCTCACAATACCACAAGAGTGTCTGTATCATTGAATCTGATGGCCTAGCATAGTTCCTCACTCTAGGCACATCCTCTCTCAGAGCACAGGCTTCCCTGGAATATGATGGACAATAATAAGAGGGACACTGGACACTACTCTCAGGCCATCCGGTGGTTTAACCTCACTCATTCCCGATGAGCTGGAGGGCTTTGGGAGACTCACTTAACCTTCCTGGCCTCAGTTTCCTCAACTGCAAATTGAAGGGGATGATAGCAATGATGTGGTTGGGCTGTTATAAGAATTAAGGGTCACTCTGAAGGAATTTACATGGGGTATGTTATCATGGTGGGAGATGTGTGTGTGTGTGTGTGTGTGTGTGTGTGTGTGTGTGTGTATGTGCAATGGCTCCTGTTGTAAGCATAAAGCTCTTAGAACTGTGTGTGGCACACCTCGGGCACCAAAACACACATGATTATTCCTGTCATAAAAATGAGAGCCGAGAGACGCCATGATGAGCTAGCTGGTCAATCACCTTTTGATGTGTATTAGGTGCAGAGTCGGGACTGTTCTGGGATCTGCCAGCCTTAGGGGCTTAAAACCTACCAGGGCCTGGTAGGAAATACAGCTTGCTGTTTCTATCCACCTTCTACTCGCCATCATAGTTTTGCTGGGTCTTGAGATTTCTCTGTTTCCTTCTTCCCTTTGCCTAGATCAGCTCCTTTTTACATGAGTTATCAGCAATGTAAATGCATGTGGGATGGGTTCTGAGCACAGCTGGTTTGCATGGTCAACTCTGGCATGAGATGTCACTGTAGGTCACAGTGATGTGGAGGGAAGACCCAGAGGGGGAGGGGCTCATCACGGCAGAGTAACTAAGTTGTCTTTATCAGGGGGAAATATGTATTTCCCCAACATCCTGGGAGCCCCCACCCCGGTTTTAATTAACTCTGTGCTGCATGAGTGTGGCCCAGGGGAGGTGTCTGAAGTTTGCATGGGCTGGAAAATTTCACTATTTGCAGTTCTGTGAGAAAGTTCCCAGGGTTTCCAGTTCCACTGCTTTTACACTTGAGAGATGTTCACACTTGAGGAAGGCTCACCCTTGAGGGATGTTCACACTTGAGGGGAGCTCACATTTGAGGGATGGCCGCCTAAATGCAGCCTACTGAGGTAGTTGACCTCAAGTGGGACTTAAAGTATCCCCACTCTCACTACCAGCTCACAATTCTTTGCTCTACTGTGGTGGTAAGGGCTCATGGCAAAGTCCCTGATGGAAGACCTTGGGGGACTTCCCCAAGGTCACACAGCTTCTAAAGGACACCGCTTGGGACTCCATGGGGGTCTTTTTCCTCTGAAGCATGCATTATTCCTACCAAATCTGACCATCTCTTTATGACATTAGTCCTTAGGAATCACTCTCATGAAGAATGTTCTAGAAAGCTTAGTTGAGAGGAAAACAGACCATAAAGCCATATGCCCAGGCCTTCAGTGTCCTGGCATGTTGAAAGAAGGAGCTTCCAAAGGCCATGAGAACTCTTTTGCCTTGAGCTCCCTAGGGCAGGACCAGGGGCTTTCCTGTCCTGAGCTCTTTGTCACCCAGGCCATGAGAGGAAGCTATAGCCACAGGCTGGCCTGAAGCACCAGCAATTCAGGCCCTGCCTGATGGGAGCCTACAAGAACAGCAGCAACCTGGCACCTTCTCCCTTATTCAAATGGGTATGTGAAGAAAGAGGAAATCAAGTCAGGCCTACCAAGACAGGAAGCTTTTCAGGGTGGGGCAGTAAAGCAGCCTATCAAATGCTAGATATGACTATATGGATTATATCCTGGTACAGGCCTGGGGAATTCTCCTAACCAGCAGCCCAAGGGGAGACCCCTGAACCTCCTTCTTAGAGGTGACCTCTTGCCCACACAATGGAAAAAGAAAAAAAAAAGTATTTCATGGCAATTTGCATTTAAAAAAAATAAAGGCAAATGGGCAAGTCCTTGGAGGTTGATGTTTTCGTGAGGCTTGCTCAAGCATACAGGCCCTGCTGCCCCCAGCTGAGTAGTGGCAACTCAGCAATGGATTTGGAGGAAGTTACATTATACTACCCATTCTCTGATGCATGTATAGCCAGGAGTCGGTTAGAACAGAGTCAGTCCGGGGAGGGTAGGAAGGAGACAAGTTGGGCCCCAGTGCCTGGGGCAGCCCATCCTGAACTGTGTGTGGGAGGTGGAAGACACACACTCTGTCCACCTTATCTTGGCGGGCCTGTGACCATTCTTGCTGTCTTCTCCTTTAGAAAGGGAAGTGCTAGGGTTGAAAACCAAGAGTCCCTCGGAGTGCCCCCTGCATCTGACTTGAAAGGGTACTGGGGCACGCTCTGCCCCTGTTCACAGCTAGCAACGGAAGGACCATGAGCCTATAGTAGAGGCAGCTTCCTGGCTCTGCTTTGGAGAAGGTAAGCAGCTCCTTTGTTAAGAGCCCACGGGTGCCATGGAAGAACAGTAGCCTGCAAGAGGGCAGCACCTCTTTTGTGTGAAGCCCTCGGTCGGCATGCAGGGTGGTTGTCTGAGCTTTATGAATTCTGCCCAGTCCAATGCTACGGGGCACTGGGAGAGACACTATCATCTCTTCTAGGAGACCTGAAACCGAGTGTAAGGATATGAGGTGGGAGGAAGACATGTCCTGTGTTACCCCTGGACTCGCCTCGCAAACCCTGTTGTGACTCTCTCCCTTCCAACTCCCTACAGGGCCTCCACATAGCATTTCTCACTGACCCAACTCAAACTTTTCAGAAAGAAAACTGTGGGCATTAGCTAGGACACAGAGCTGCCCCTGGAAACTCAGGTGATGCCTTCCCTCTGCTCGCCTATGTCCCCTCCACCCTGTGTCCAGTTGTTGAAGGACTCTTTGAAGCTCTGGCAGTCTGGCTCAACCTTGCTTCTTGACACATAGCTGAGCTTGGACACCTTGATTAACCCACAGCCCCGGCTTCTCCCCTAGAGTTCTGGTCTATCGCAGTCTTCACTAGACAGGAGATTTCTTTATCTTCAGCAGGATACCATGGAGACAGTATCTAGATTAGTAAAGCAGCTGTGACCACAGAACCCCCCCCCCAAGACTAGCTGTGTGCCTGGGCAGGGGGAGGGTATAGGATTTATCATGGACTGGCCAGCATGATGACCAAAAGCTTAGCTTTCAGAATTAGATGGTTTGGGTTGGGTCTCTGTAGGCAGCTAATGATATGACCTGCATTCCTTTTGTGAGCCTCGGTTTCACCAATCTTAAAATAAAAGGATGGAGCCCACTGATCTCAGAGTTCTCTCTCAAAATGACAACACTTTTGGACTGCCAAACACCCCACCCTTTCAAACGTTCATTATTGAACATTTGAACCACAAAGTGAGGGACTGGTACAATGGAACACTGATACCCACTGCCCAGTTTCAACAAGAACCATGGTCTGCCATTGTCCAGGCTTTCCCGGGGGCTACTGCAGGACTAAGTTAAATAACTCTCCAGGGAAGTCAGACTTACCATCAGGGTTGGGTAATGGTCTCTCCAAAGGTGGAGGTGCAGATTTCATGCTGTTTCCCATCTCTTTCTCTCCTGGGGCTGTGGAAGGTACTGGAAGCCTGCAGTACGAGAGACACACACGTAGAATGAAGCGCACCCAGAGTTCCCTGAGTGGAGAGTGACCTAGTTCAGAGCACATGGTGCATCATTTCTCAGGCAACCTGCTTCTTGAAAGGCGGCTGTTTTTTATGTCAAGATGCGATTCATGAGTGTTGGTTACAGAGGCACAGCTCAAATGCTTTTATCAAGGGGATGACAGAGAAAAACCACAGAGAAGGAAGTTGCTTGCAAGTGCTGTTGGTGGCAAAAGTTTCCATTCCTCCACACCACTGCTGCGCACGCAGAGCAGGGGTTGCTGGAGAAGTTGAGCGGTGTTTTAGGTAGCCCCGAAGAAGCTGTGCTCACAGACTGTAGCCAACAGCTCTCACAGCCCAGGAATTCAGGCACAACACACTTAGAAGCTGAAAGGCTTCACAGCCTGAAGGGGCAGGGCCAGGCCAGGCTGGGGGTGGGATTTTGGTTTGATTCTTTCTTAACTGTTTGATTTTCCACACCTGTGTTAACAAAGGGTGGCAAAGGCCAGCTTCATGACCATACCCTTTACTTGGTTGGTGTATGCTTTCCATGCTGATGAACACATTCACCTCTACCATAGCCTCGAGCATGGCAAAGCCTTGTGTCCTTAAGAAAACACACTCAAAGGGGGAAAACAACTGATCCTAAGTCACATACAGGTAAAGCCGCAGGTGTCTCGGTTGCCTCATAGTGGGGTCTCCTGGAGCCCCACACTGACTACAGTGCTGTCACTTGCTTGAGAACCAATAACCTCCGGCAAGTGGTTAACATGTTCTTGCCTGCTCTTGGGGGTTTGGGGGCAGCTTTGAGTAGTTGCCATAAAACTAAGTGAGTCAACACCAGCGAAACACACAACATGGCCTGATTAGTGAGCATCATGTTGACAATTCAAGATTCAAAGTACAACTTCAACTGAATGCACATGGCTTTCAGGCCACTGCCAAGCTTCAAATCTCAGAGCCATGCTCTGAGAGCAAAGCCTCTGAGGGGAGGCAGAGGAAGACCTGCACTACTTCCTACTTTTGGAGGAAGGGAAGCAGGCGGTGGAATCCCTATTCTATTAAGAAGCAAGGAGAATGAAAAGGACATCCCCTGCCAGGGCAATGGACAGTTCTGAGGCTTCTGACCCATACCCAGCCCTGTGTCAAGGACCTCAGAAAGACAGAACCTACTGACCAGACACAGCATATATTCATCATTCAAACTCTTTCCAGTTCTTCTCAAGTGGTTGTGAGCTGTTTGAGAAACCTATGTTTCTAAGATTCAGAGGAAGAGAGAGGGAGAGAGGAAGCAAGGTAGTAAAAGGGAACAATTGAGGGAGAGAGGAGGAGAAGAGAAAGGGAGGGTGGAGAGGAGGAAGGAAGGAAGGAACATTCGAATCTTGCATCTTTTTCATATAAGAAAGCCGAGGTGCGTACCAACGAGACAAACCCAGAGCTGGCCCTCCCTAGACCTGGGCCTTCTGCTCTTACCTCACTTGCCAGGTTCTGACATGCTATCCTCTCCTGCCTTCTCCTGACAAAAGGCCGGAAGATCCCCGTGAGCCACCAGGAGTCCTGTTACCTCAACAGCACCATAGCATAGCTTACCACCTCACGGCGCCTCCGGGAAGGGGTTAACTCACCACGTAAAAGCTTTTATTTGAGCAGAGTGGCAATGCCCAGAAGCAGGGGAGCTGGGGCCTCCCTGAGGAAATAACTGAACAATTTGATTTAATCTGTGACAGTTTTCTACAGTGGCTAGAGGTGGAGAGAAGGTGCGAGAGACTAATTGCTTCTAGGAAGGAGAAGAAAAGGGCAGAAGAGAGCTGAGTTAATTACCACTGGCCCCGCCTATTCCTGACCTCCTTCCCCTTCTCCATGGAGTGCCTCCTCCTCAGGGTCCCCGTGGAAGGACTGCAGTGGCTAGTCACCATCCTCTCCCCCGAGTCCGGGAGCTAATGCTATTCTGTGTGGCCTTTAGCCTCAGTTTCCACTTCTGAAAAATGAGGTGAATAGGAGAGTGATCGTCTCCGGAGAGTGAGCCTTTTTACCCCACTTCATTCCAGCAATCAAGACTCCGTGGCTCTTGGAAGATTATTAATAAGAGAAAAGAGCCATCATCGTTTTTTTACAAAATCCCACTGGCGAGAGTACAAATTCTGTCCTTATATTCTTTGGGAATGCAGGGAAGGTAAGTGGCATGTGCCAGGCCACCTTCACACGAGCATCCCTGGGAGCAGACGCTACTTTTTTTTTTTTTTTTTTTATCCTAAGAGGGCTGGTCAGGGGCTGGCCCAACTGCCTCAGGTCCTGGTGTAGAAACTCCATCATTCTTGACTTCAGAAAGCCTGCCCTCTGCTGTGATCTAGATGACACTGGACAGTGCATGCCTGCCCGCTGAGTGGTTCAGAGGGAGGAGCTGCCATAGGGAGTGTCTGTGTGTCCAGCAGCTCTTCCTTGCAGGTCGTTTGCTTGTTCAGCTCCAGCCCCCTCCACTGAGGGTCTACATCAGTGCCATTACTGCGGGGATCTACAGCTCCCAAGCCTTCCACTCTGGTGACATCCCACAATAGAACATGTGTCTTTCCTACATGGCACACCCACTACCCATGTCTGCCTGTGGAAAGGAAGGTTATCTGTGCAATTTTCAGAACATCAAAGAAAGAGAGAGCATCAGGAACTTCAGCCAGGGGCAAAGTATGGTCCACCCTGGAGGACACATAGGACACAAGCCTTGTCCACAGCAGGCATGACTGAAAAACCTAAGAGGCCAGCCTCCCTCCCTTTGGAGTAAAATATCTCTTCTACAACATGACAGCTAAAAACTCATTCCTGTAGCCATCTTCTAAGGTTTGGAAGCCAGAGACTGCTAGTCAGGAGCCTCAGTGTCCATGCAACATGTCACCCCTATCCACAGCAGTGACACATGAACAGCCACCAAGCAGATCAGTTTTGCTCTATGCTGCACAAAGTTAAGTAATGCAACAACTGACTGTGCTTGACTGTACACCCCGTCCGAGCCAACCGTGATCTGAGGTTTCAGAACTAGGCAGAGGTAATGCAGAGGTAAAAGAACGTCAACCTGTCTCCAAAGCCCACACTCTCCCCACCTCTGGGGACTTGCCCTGGCCTCCTATCCTTCCTTCCTGGTCCGAGAAGAAACAGCAAAGGGATTCTTCAAAGTCATCCAACCAAATTTGGCAATCATAAACTTTAAGGGGAACTAAGCGACAGGAAGGCCAAGGGGTCTTTTGGAGAAAACATAGCAATGACTGGAAGCCTAGGCTTGCAAATCCACTATGGGAAGGAGAAGAGACAGAAGTTCATGAAAGTTTCCTGCTGTTTCAAGGTGGCGGGGGAGGGGGGTGAAGATGATTCCAGGCTTGCCAGCACTCAGAACTGTAGCACCAGAGGTCAGAATGGAAGGGACACTGGTGACCATGCTGAGGGTATCATACATTCATTACCTATTTATGGTCTTGCAACATAGCTCAGGCTGGCCTAGAACACGTGATCCTTTGCCTGAGCCTCTGAAGTGCTGGGGTCACAGGCATTTACCCCTGTGCTCAACTTCATAAAAAAATGTAATAGCATATGCATGCACTGACTATATCAAAGCAGCCCATGAAACTTCCCCAGGAGTTTCCAAGGGCTCTCTCTGGGTGTGAGTGACATCAGAGGTGAATGTGTGAGCTTCTGAGGCACACATCTCTGTAGCCTCCGCACGTGTCTTATGTGCATGAATTGGTTTTGTGCCTCAAAGCTGGGCAAGACTCAGAGAGCTCCACAGGAGGGTCTGCAGAGCGGAGTTAACATTAGTTCATATCTCTGCTCCCACTTGCTGGCTGTGTATACTCAAGGCACTTTTTTCACCTCTTCTGGGTCTCTACATTCTGTTCTCTTATACCAACTTTAGATGGAAATTGTTAGGGTTGTTCGGGGAATTAAATTGCTATTCATAAGTAAAGCAGGGGTGTGTTTGGTAAATAGTAACCAAAACGTACCAATGGCCGGTCCTTTGTAGTGCTAGTCATTAACTAACTCACCGTACCAGCAGAGCAAATAAATCACTTTCCCTTTCTGGGATACATCGCCTCATCTACCCCATCCCTGCCCCCAAGGCATGACTGGCCTCTGTGATTCCATGTCTGCTTGAAACTTGTTTAGTGATGCTTAGGGTCTGACAGTTTGCTTCAGGGAAAATAAGAGCTGCCACCCCGGAAGCTTAGTGCCCGGCTCCACTGAGAGCCTGGCAGGATTTCCCTGGGTACTATACCACATCCTGGCTTCAATCAGCAGGTGTTTCTCCCTGAACAGGTGTAGGGGGCTGCCAGGGCAGCCTGTCCTATGGTACCTCCATTCCTTGCCCACTGCTCTGTCCTGCTGCCTATTCCTGTTTCCAACACAGAGGAGGAGGGCTGGGCTACTGTCTCTGTCTCCTAGGGTACCAAGTAAGGTTGAAACGTACACAGCTGAGGTACCTCCTGATGCAGTCATCCTGTACCTGACTCACAGATGGAGTGTGAAAACCTGCTGGGAGAGTGACTTAGGGTCCTCCCAGATAAGTCAACCCACATCCATGCTCAGCAAGGGGCCAAGGACAGTTGTGAATGTGGCAAAAAACTTACCTAAAACATTATGAAACCTTTTTTTTTTAAATAACTTGATTGCATGAGCATGAATTTTATAGACAGAAGCATTACTTTACAGTGTGGGAAGAACTAGACATGCCTGGTCTAAGATGGTTGAAACCTGTTGGTTTGAACGTGCTATTTTGAAGGAAGTTTCCCCGGGAGCTCAGTATACACAGCAGTCAAGTCAAGTTGCTTCTTATCTCAGATACAGCCTTGTGAAATACAGGTTCAACTCTAGGAGAAGGAGGCTGAGAGAGACTTCCAGGGAGATGCTAACATGTGCACAGGAATCCGGGCCCCCAAACTAGCAAGGATGCGATTTTTTTTTTCATGATGTCATGTTTCCCAGCAAGAGTTCCTTTTGCTTTTCATTCATACACGTGAACCACCAACATTATTCACAAACCTATCAGCAAGATAGAAATCTGAGTTCTGCCCAATGTAACATGCTCAGATGATGGTCCCTTCCCAATTAGTCAGCTTGGCTAGGACCTGGGCAACTGCTCTCCCACAAGGCTCAGGGCAATTGTCACAGTTGAGGGGGCACTCTGGGCACTACCATGAGGAGGACTCTGACGCTAAGCAGTTGGCCGAGCGTTGGTGTCATGACTGTTCATTGCTCGGTGGTTTCTGTATTGTTACTTCCCCTCAGACCCAGAGCACAGTCCTCAAGGAGATCAGAAGTAGATAAGACAACAGCCACAGTGCACCAGACAGCCATTTGCAGCGGCCTGGTCATCACTTAACAATCCGTGCTGAGGAAGCCTCCAGTTTGGAGTGTCTGACAACTTCTGTGGTGCAAAGTGTCATGCTGTGACCTAGTACTGGCTTCCTGCTTTACATCTCTGAGTGTGTAGGCCCAGTGGGCCTCCTGGCAGAACTAGCCGGCTCTGGAAAGCTGAAACCAACAGCCTATAAAGTGACAAAGAGTATTCTTATTATACCATGAGATTGGTTCACATGGCATCCATTGAAGTATGGCATGTACTTTGACTCAGCCCCTTCCCTTCCTTTTCC